TTCAAATATCTTTTTAGTTTGAAATAGATGCAGATTTACCGAGGAGTCGTTCCCTTGGCCTTATCTCTCAGAACTCCGGTGCCTTGATGAACACCAAGGAAGTGACATCAGTACAGCCCTAACGTCCGGACTTCCCTTGGAATTTCGCCGGTTTTCACACTAATGCCCTTCTGCTGTTTTGAGATCCAGCCCGGAATCCATATGGCACTGGGGCTCTGTGGCTTTTGAGATAAAGAGCTCACTACTATATTTTCCTTTTTTTTTTTTTTTTTTGAAGCTTATGGGGATGTTAACATTTGGGGGGGTGGGAGAGTGGAAGCTAGAAAAGAATTTATCTTAAGGTAAGTGTGTCAGCCATCCTTTTGTATGTTTTAGAGAACTTTGGGAAATCTCAAAAGACCATCCTGCAGGGCTGCAAAGGCACCTCGTCACAGTGAGACGTGAACAATAAAGTTGGGCCCTATATTACGGACAGTGGAGTACCGAGACTCAAAAATGGAAACCAAACAGCGTCCCCTGCGGGAAAATCCACAGGCTTCTTTGGTGAGGGCAGTGGGAACACCGGCTGGAATAGGGACTGCCCAAGCCACTAATGAGTCAGATTTAGTCTTGCATACGTATTTTGTGGGCCTGCTTTGCACAAGCCTTATCCACGGCGCTGGAGAATATTCTACGCAGCATTGAATAAGATGAAGTCCCTACATTTGCAAAGCCTGTTTTCAAGGAGACGAGCAATATACAAATACACATTGGCTAATGACAGGTGCACCACCGCAAACATGGGGAGTGGAGGGTGAGAAACGTGAGTTTAGAGACGGTGGGCTGAGGAAGGATCTCTGAGGAGGCGGGCGCTGTGTGTCCTGAGTGCTCAGAACCACAGATCAGGAGGGCTTGCCCCGCACTACCCAGAGCCCCGGTCTCCATTAGAATTGGAACACTGAGATTATGGAAAAAACTGAGTTTCTGCCCACCAGTCCCAGGTTCAGACTGACGTGGGTGCTCCCACAGCTCTGTGGGAGAGTTATCCTTTCTCCTCTTCCCCATCACGTGGCTTGTCGTTCACGAACGGTTCGTTTTGCTTTGAATTTCCTTGCCTTTGGAGGCGCGTTGAGTAAGAAATTGAACTTGAATACGTTGAAATTGTCAGCTCTGATGGAAGCAGCCATTGCAAAAGGTCTTCCTGAGGTCCTTTGAAGTCCAGGGGAGGGGAGTGGAGGAAGAAAGCAGGTGCCAATAAACACAATGCTGTTCCTCTGAATGCAGGCTCCACGCAAAGGTGGCTTGTTCAAACCCAGCCTCAGCAGATTCCAGAATCTCTGAACCTTTACTGACCACCCAGGATGTGCCGGGCATCTGTTTACATTTAGATTTGGAGTTCCCGTATACACGTAGGGTTCCTCTACAGATTTTTTCCTTGCACCCCTATTGCGAAGCGGGTGTTACACCTTTCTTTCTTTCTAGAATGAATGCGCAGGACCACAGGGCCGGCAGATGATAGAAACAGGAGCTGTGAATCAGGGGTTTCCTGACTCTAAGACCAAAGCTCTTTCCACCGCATAACAGCTCAGCCTGACTAGAAAATTCCAACTTCATCTTGTCCCGCCCAGGACCGACATGTCCTACAATTTGTGCTGTGTCAATTTAGAGAAGATTCCCTGGGAACAACACAGCCATGCCCTGAAACAGCAAAATGCCACGCTTGGGACCTACGTAGAGCCTCCTGGTGGTCATTAGTTGGGGAGCCAGGATCCACACACCAGAATCTGGCACTATGGTTTCTACAGAGAAACCACAGCAAACAGCAGTGTTACGAGCCGCTCAGCCATGGTTGGAGCACCTTTCAAATCTGTGCTCTTATTAGCAAGCGTCTTTATTTTTTTTTACTTATTTATTATTATTATTATTTTTTAGCAAGCGTCTTTAGTAGATCTTATGTATTGTTGTCATACCTGAGTTCGAGATTCCTCCTGCCTCTTAAAATAAACCGGCAAGCTGAGTCAGTTATACAAGGCGGCCAAATTGCTTTTGGATACTAGCCCTTTATCCGATATGTCATTTGCAAATATCTTCTCCCGTTCCGTCGGTTGCCTTTTAGTTTCATTGACTGTTTCCTTTGCAGTGCGGAAGCTTTTTATCTTGGTGAGGTCCCAACAGTTCATTTTTGGTTTTCATTCCCTTGCCTTTGGAGACGTGTCGAGTTAAGAAATTGCTGTGGTTTCTATATACAATGGAATACTACTTGGCAACGAGAAAGAATGAAATCTGGCCATTTGTAGCAACGTGGATGGAACTGGAAAGTATTACGCTAAGTGAAGTAAGTCAGGCAGAGAAAGACAGATACCATATGTTTTCACTCATAGGTGGATCCTGAGAAACTTAACGGAAGACCATGGGGGAGGGGAAGAAGGGGGGAAAAAGTTACAGAGAGGGAGGGAGGCAAACCACAAGAGACTCTTAAATGCTGAGAACACACTGAGGGTGGATGGGGGACAGGGGAGGGGGGGAAGTGGGTGATGGGCATTGAGGGCATCTGTCGGGATGAGTAATGGGTGTTGTATGGAAACCATTCTGACAATAAGTTATATTTAATATACATATATATATAAAAAAAAGGCGGCCAAATTGCGCAAAACCATCAACGACTCTTTCCCCAGAGCAGATTACACGCTTGCAGCCCGTGGGAAGACGTAACTGCCCCTCAGCCTACAAACAAATCCCTTCCTTTCAGAGTTTTCACTGACAATGAAGTCTCAACTCGAGGCAATAATCATCTAAAAACATGCCTCTGGGGTAATTGGTGTTGGTCCTGGGGCAGCCGAGGTTTACCGTAAAGGGGCTGTTTTTCATGGTTGTGCATTTTTAACTCTGTGATTAGCAGAGTAGCAAGCTGGCAAGTTTAAAACTAAACATCATTTGCTTCCTCTGCCTAGCAGGGATAAACACAAGGATCAACAGAATGCCAGAAAAATCCAAGTGCGTTTTCAGGGCCAAACGGAGCGTGGGGTGCTGGAGATGTGGATTCTTCTGGGATCATGTAGTGGGGCCACTCATTTTCCAGATGAGGTGGGAACCTAGAGAGTTGAACCACTGGTCCAAGGTCACATGGTCTTTAGAACCCGGATCCAAACCCAAGCCTTCTGACTCAGAGCCCAGGGCTTTTCCTTTGGGGTGAAGAAATCATCTCCGAGTGCCGTTTTACTCTGTCTCTAAAAGGGGGGATTAGAAAGGGGACCCATCCATATCACGGCCCCCCAGATGGAAGGACCAGGTGGAAGTATAACTGGGTTGGTCCTGAGCTCCAGGCCAGGCACTGGCACCTGCTTCCGGTCTTTGAGGTGAGGCTACATTCTGAGTTGGCCGCCTACCAGAAGGAGTTTGGGCTGATTAAGTCTGCTCACCGGAGGCAGTGGGGTAGACGGGGAAGGCCGGATGAAGGGCCCCACTTGCAGCTGCTTGTGGGACCCTCTCCCCATCCCTTCCACAGGCTGGCGGAACCCCTCGTCAGTCATGGGTACCGAGCTGGTCCCCCGTCCTCCAGGGCTGGGCTTGTGCTCTGACCTTTGCAGATTCCATCCTCCCAGGATGAAGAACTGCCTTGAGTCCAGCCCTGGCCCCCCAGCTGAGCCAATGGTCCCCACTGGGCGGGGGCAGCGGGCTCTCAAATAGCTCATCACCGGGACCACGCACATCCACTTTGGAGTTAAGATCCAAATCCTGGCTCTAGCACTTTCCGGCTGAGGAAACACCTGGGTCTCTAGACCACAGTTTGTCTGCCTATAAAATGACTTAGAGATTTGTTTTGAGCACTGATGAGATAATCCATACAAAGCACTCAGCATGGTGCCAGCCCAGCGGAAGCACTCAGTAAACGGTGGCTGTTTTTACCACTCAGAGGTCCCTTCTCTTGCCTGGCTCCTCCGCGGGTCACTGTCTTTGCCTCTTGGCCTCTCATCATGGTTCTGTCTGTTGACCGAGCGATCCCCTGGAGTTTGACCACCCCAACCCCCTCTATGCCACATGCCTGCTGGAACCTTCATAGAGCCCTGCCTTATAGCAGCCTCCCAGCTGGGCATCCTCCTCCCTGGACCTGCCTCCCCTAGGGCTGCCCTCCCCTCCCAACCTCCCGGGGCTCCCCTCCCCCTTCCCACCCCCCCACCCCCACAGGGTTCCTGCCCCCAATCCAGGCTGAATGAATAACCAGCCTAGCCGTCAGTAGTACTGGGATGGGCTCCTGACCAAGTACTGGGGCTGGGACGGTCACACCCCACAGCGAATCACAGACTTGGACCGTGTCCATGCCATTGACGGTGGCGGAGCCCCGTCAGGCAAAGAACAGCCCTTCTCCCCCAACAGTTTTCCGTAAACTATTTTACGGCGGTGAAACCCACTTTCGGCTCGGGCAGAGAGAAGGGGCTCAGTATTTATAGTTGAGAGAGCACATCTTCTCAGGGTGACGGAGAGGTTTTTCATTTTGCTTCTCTTTGCCTACATTTCTCTGCCCCCCCCCCCCATTCGCTTGCTCTCAGTTCATGTTTCTCAAACGGTCTGTGGGGAGAGGCCAGTCATTTCTTGTCCCCCGACAACCGTGCACCAGTCCTTTGGTGAAACACTAAAAATAAATTGCTGCGAAACGAAAACGCCGTCCGGACACCACAGCGACGTTGGTTGTGGGCTCTAAAGTGTCTTAAAGACTGCCAATTTCCGTACTCCTCTGGTCTGCAGGCTGGGAACCTTCTCGCAGACCCAAAGCAGTCCCTGGACCAGATTACGAGGAGGGCGGCCTCTGGAAGGAGCAGAGGCGTGGGGGGAGCCCGTCTGCACTCCCCATCCTGGGTCTCTGTCGTCTGATGTCGCCGCTGGGCAGCGGCCCGCCCCGCCCCCCCCTCCCCAGAGAAAGCTACAGTGCACTCCTGGCCTAGTCCTTGGAGGCTGTGGTCAAGCCGATGCCGGGGGACAGATGTGCCACCAAGCCCCCGCCCGAGAGCCCAGGCCGCCCTTACCACTCCATTCCAGCTCTGTTGATTTCCTCCCACCAGCACTCCGTGGGCTCCCCGAGGTTCTGGGGTGTGGGCATGCAGGCATAGTTCCACTGTCTGTCCGAGCCTTCTTTCTTGTTGAAGATGCTCCTCACGGCCACCACCACCTGCCCGTGGGGACACTGGTAGCTGAAGCCTTGCCGGTTCAGGTTGACCCACCCGTCATCGCTGTAGTCATGGTACTGTTGGTAGGGGTACCCGTAGTCACCATACTGGCCCCAGGCCACGGTGACCAGGGCCAGCAGCACCCACAGCCGAGCGAGGTCCATGCCGCCCAGGGTTCTGACAAAAAACGTCACCCTAGGTCTGCGGGGCTGACCGTTTTATACAGCTGCCGCCGACATGTGGCTTCCAGATGTGGGAGAGCAGGTTCCAAGTGCACTGTGTCATTGCTGAAGCAAAACCTCAGCGTGGAGAGCCCGGGGCCATGAGTCCGTCCAGCTCGTTTTAAGGTGGAATGCTAGGAAAATGTAAGGAACATACAAATGAAAGGAACTCCCCAGAGAAAGACCCACCCTGCGGGGAGATTATAAAGGCAAATGGCTTCACGCCCCTTAGAGGCGGTCACCTGAGACCGCAGGGTGTCTCTCAGGACCTCACCTCCCTCTGCTCCCCTCCCCCAGCAAACCCCCTGATTCGTTCCCCCAACTAGCCTTCCAGGACCCCACGGGTACCCGGAGTGATTTCAAAACACCAAAATAGTAGGGATGAAGGGACGGAGTCATTTAGATTTCTGCAAGGCCAGATGCCTGGTTTCTTTGAAGTTCCCAGCCCAGTGTCTTTTGACCTTGAGTGTGTGCATGTCGTGCCAGTTTGCAAGGCTGCTCTGTGAATTAGTAAGTCGCTCATGGAAGTGCTGTGGGCCCCGGGAAGCAAAGGTAGGCACCATCTCTGCACTTGAGCAACCCCCTGAGCTGCTGAAATTGGACCACCCCCCCCCCCATCTACAAGCTGTGCTCTGCTCTCCAGTCTTAAAGAATTTAATCCGAATCATTTGAACTCATCCTGCAGTGTTTTTCCTCCACGTTGGGGGTTTTCTTTGTATTGAAGTATAATGTACATACAATAAAATCCATCTTTTAAAATGTTTAGCATACGGTCATTTAGCCCACACTATAACTGAGATGTAGAACGGGTGCATCATCCCCGAATCCCTTTTAGACCCCCTCGGTGATCAAATCTTCCCCCATACCCTGTTCCTGGTAATCCCTGATCTACTTTCTGTCACTATATTGTTGAGATTTCCAGAATGTCCAGTAAATGGACTCGTACGTAGTCTTTTGTGTCTGACTCCTTTGCCTTAGAATAATGCTTTCTAGATCAATCCCTGCGGTTGCGTGTGTCAATAGTTCAGCTCCTTGTACTGTTGAGTGGTGTTCTATGTTATGGCTGTACCACAGGTACAGCTGAAAGACATTTGGAGGGTTTTCTCCCCCCAGTTTTTGGTAATTGTGAAAAAAGCTGCTATAAATATTCACATACAGATGTTTTGTGTGAACTTTGGTTACAAAATTTGTGTGAACACATTTTTTTTTTTAATTTTTTAAAAGTTTATTCATTTTTGAGAGACTGAGACAGAGCGTGAGCGGGGGTGGGGGGGCGGGCGGCAGAGAGAGAGGGAGACACAG